GTGTCATGCCAATATTAGTTCATCTTTGTCAATGTTGCCCACGATGACAACAACACTGGGTGAATGGGACTCTATCCTCCAGGTAGCCACTGCACTCTCCATCTCAGCATATTCAACACCCATTAAAAATTCCAATTATTACTTTCAAAGCTATACAGATCCTGAAAGCGTATGCATCCTGTACTATGATTTGCTTTGCAGCCCCTTATGGGTGTCTCCACGGGAGCCATAAGAGTAGTAAAATATTACCCAACATTTTTTTTTTTTTTCAAAACATGCTGACTACAACAACACACAGCTAATTGAGAACTTACTCGCCAATAATGACTTATCATACTCTGCTCAGCACAGTGCTGATGCAGGCAGGCTCATTTAGCAAGCCAGAGTTTACCGCTTAATGAAGTCTGAAAAAAATCAGATGGAGAGAAAGGACAATGGATTGCATATGGATTTGGCCACTTGATATCCCCTCACTGCAGTGTCTCTTGAGTATGTTTTTTTTTGTTTGTTTTTTCTCCTACAACCTTCATTTACACATTTGCTTAATGGGCAATTCAGTGAAAGTATCCAGTAGTGCTGTTTTTATTTATGTTTTTGCCAGGTCAGTAGGTTAAGTGTGTATCATAGCCATTCTTTGGTGATGCAAGAGGCGATTTGATGTATATTTTTCCTAATATTCCCCTGCTAAAGCTATTGAGGCCTATTATCCCTTCGCCATGGCTTCCACTGTAAGCTGCCAGTCAGTGCAAAGCAAAATTGTGTACATTGCATGTGTGGTTAGAAAAATCAGGCTGTACAGTACGCACATACAGTACTGTGCTGATGAAGAAATCACCATCACTCAAAATGTATGCATAACCCAACGTATGCATAAAAAAACAAAAACAAAGAATACTTTGGGCCTAACTGTAGCTGATTTCATTTTCTTTTGTAAGTCATTTGTAAATCTATACATCTATCTGCAATAGATGCCAGTGAGGTTGATGGATTTGGATAATCTTCTTGTTCTTCATGCATCTCTCTCCACTTATAACTGGTCACACTTGGCCTGATGAATGCCAGATCAAATATCTTAACATTACCAATGGTGTCCCACAGGGGTCAGTTCTTCGCCCCACTCTGTTCCTCCATCTATACTCTTTCCTTAATTGAGATCGTAAACAAAAGAGGGATAATGTTTCACAGCTATGCTGACGATATACAGCTCTATTTTAAAACTACCCTAGTGCTTCCACAGCCCTAGTAAAGGATTTGCCTTGATGGAATCAGCCTATTTGCAGCCATAATCATAATGTTTTATCCCCTTTTAAGTACTCTTATCTATTTCTCGTCTCTGTTCAGCACTCTGAGATTGCTTAATGCAATGAAAAGTGCTATATTAATTAAAATGATTATTAGTAGTGGGGTAATAGTGAAGATAAGATGGATATGTGCACTGAATTGGGCATGTATGCTGGATATAAACACCCTGATAACGGTATAATTTTTCCGAAGATCTTTGTTTTTGGTCCTATTTCTTCAGTCTTTACCTACTGTAAAGTGATCTATTGTTCTGTGGGAATGACATGGATGAATCGAGGTAGGGATGTTCTAATTGTTTCTTGTGAGGGAGGCTGTCTGGTCTCCTCCCCCTTTAAAGGTCCCCTGACATGAAATTTTCACTTTCTGGGGATTTGAGTTCCCCTAGCCTCTATATGGTCCCCCCAGTGGCTAGAAATTTTAATCGGTCTATCTTTCTCCACCTTTGAGAAAATGTAAGCTCAGACGAGCTGATCTTGAGTCTCCTCTGTATGAAGTCATACGGAGGAAAGGTAACATTCCCTTTCTGTGCTTTGCCTGCCCAGAGAATTTGGCTCATCCATGAGAAAATGAGCTAGGAACGCACTATTTGAGTTTTTCCTCGAGAGTTATCATGGCTTGCAAACGAGCGAAGCATGGCAGTTGAGCATGGCAGTAATCTGAACCTTTGAAGAAACAATGGGTTAATTTTATTTTCTCTGGAGCTTTTCTCTTTTCTCTTTTCCCAAAGTTTTGTATGGTCCAAACATTTCACCGACGACTGTTTCCTCGACTAGGGCCAATACAGGGCTGGCCTCTATGAACGTCCGAAAATAAATGATCGAGCTACCAAGTAACAATTTCTGATGTGTGGCCTAATTGTTCAAGTCAAGCCAGTGACTAAAATATCAACTTCACATCGTTTCATTTAGTAGGATGAAAATAATCTTATTTAAATTGTGAACAAATTATACAGAAAGCGATTAAAGAACAATCTTTCCACACAGCGCGAGTTTATCTGGATAACTCATTATGAAATCAATGATGCACTTTACACAGCACAACAAGGCTCTTATTGTATGTACATCATCGTGTTTGAATTGGTGAAAACATTAGAGAGAGTGCAGAATCTGTGTTGCAATGATAAGATCTTCATTCTCACAATCAACAGACTGTCATCTGCTTGCTCAATGCTCATCACGGCAACATTTTATGTGATGGGATTCAACTTACTTTAAAAAAAAAAAAAAAAAACTTCTCACCATTTGTTAATCTCGATAGCTGTTACAGTAAAAATGTATAATAGCTATAGTTAAAATATTCAACATGTAATATGTAGCTATTTCATATGCAAGCATGCCAGCCAATCACAGCAGTGGCCGGTTACTCTGAATCCCACAGCAGACCCAAGTTGGGATCACTGTCATTTACCGATTTAGTTCTCCGTACAACATCAATCATATAAAATAAAAAGTCCATAATAATACATATACACAGTTGTAATGTATTTCAGTGGTAGGAATCACGTTAAACTCGTAAATAGTGGCTGCCTGGATGGAGCTGCCAGTGGGCAGTTTTACTGAATTTAATGAGCCTAAAAAATAAATAAATAAATAATAATAAAAAAATAAAATAAAATACAAAATAGAAAACACACGAGGCCTGTGGCTTCCAAATTGGTATATCTGTTTTCAATCAGTAGTTTCAATGGGGTGGCAGGTAGCTGACCTTCCATTGGATCGTGGCTGGTCATACGTTTTGAAAGTGTCTGCTTTGGCTAGCCAGCTGAAGATTGAACACCCACTCACTTGGAACGTGATATTTTCAAAATAGTAACAGAAGCTTAAACACATCTTTTGAATTTGCAACAACAGATCCTGAAGCTTTTGAGTAGCAAGGTAGTTAAATGCACAATGGATTTGGGACATTGTTATATATATATATATATATATATATATATATATATATATATATATATATATTTTTTTTTTTTTTTTTTTTTTTTCTGAAATAGGTAACACATTAAAAGTAGCTTCTCCATCACTGCCAATGTCGTTGACTGCTTTTAATAGTGAGGCTGATACAAGAATGGTTTGGGTTCAATTATTAGCTTTAGCTTCAGTGTAATTACCGGACATTGGCAGGGGGAAAAATGAAATGTCTGACCAAATTAAATCTCTCCGGTCAAATTGTCAGATTAAAATGGCCTAATAATCCCGCCCCCTAACACAATCTGAATTTGAGAATAAGCCTAAAATGTATAAAGCAAAATTACACAGACCGATCAGAAGGATCATTTGCCATTTTACAAGCATATCTGAGGTCATATTTTACAAGCTCCTCAATGCTGTAAGCCTATACGACTTGCTGCCCTCGGCACTCCGTGGCTATGGAGGATTGCTTTTCTCCACAGCCTGCAAAGTCCTCATATGTGATTTCAACGAAATGTATCCGGATGTTCATTTCGGTTAATTTTCCCGACCAACAACCACAGCTCGTTAATCGATTATTAACCGTTAACTGATAAGATTCTAATATTGAATTGGCATTAAATAAGAATAAAATTGAAGCATATCTGTTAAAAATACAAACATTTTTATTTTTTTTATTATTATTTTTTTTTTTGTCATAGGGTTTATTTTTTAACGTGCAAAGTGCAACCAACAGCATACAGAGCAGATTTACAGTACAACAGTGCTGAAATGAAATTTATAACATACACGTGGATAGCTCAAAATGCGTATAGACAACACGCCACTTGACTTGAAAGTGGCGTGTATGTATACACAAAAGTCATGATATCATGTTTTACTGAGAGTGTATAATTAAGTTTGCTTAAGTAAAAACAATAGGCTATTATTCAGATATTGCAAGTGGGGAAGGGGGATTGGTTTGTTAAACTATGAATGTGAAACAATAGTAAAAAAAAAAAAACAATAAACAATTGCCGTTGATTGACGCCAATCGGATGTTCATGTTTCTTTTTTTTTCCTGTCTATTTGATAGTTAGGCTAATAAACATGTTGCATTCTATATACGGCCTGATAAAATCAATTTTTAGGTTACATGGTCTGCCTCAAGTTTACCTCAACTTGACTAATTAAGAGGCGATATTTGACCGGCATATCATCAAAATGTCTGTAAAATAAACTCTGCTGGTCCCTTTGACCAACGCCATTTTTTTGTAGCGGAAACTCTGGTCTGCATGAATTTTACGGTAAAAGCGCAGACCTCCTCAAACTCTCAACTCCATTTACAACACTGCTTCAGCAGGGTCTCGCCTGCATAACAAGATGTGCCTTGAGTAATGTTCTCATCTGCTGGAAATAACACAACTAATAGTAAGATGCAACAAAGCCTTGCCGCTCCTATAATAAATATGAGGCACAAAGCGAGTGTGGCTCCACGGCAGATGCAAATTACAAAGGGAGAGAAAGTTGTCAGATTCAGTCATTGCTGCTGAAATCATTCTAATCTTTTCACTGAGGTGAGACCACAGGAGAGCTCAACAACATGCAGGCCTGTGGCGTATAGTCACATCCTGCACATTTGTGAGAAATGAACTTGTTTAAAACATGAACTGCAGCTATAGAATATAATTTAGCTGGGTAGTGGTCTCCATCTCTGTGCTTTAATGCATCTCTGTGTGTTTATGCTTTTTCTTTTACATTCATCTTTCTGTTGTCTCCATTGTCTTATTTTTTCCCATAATGCCACTGAAGCATACCTCGAAGATGATGTGGATGATTTCGATGACCCTTTCGGTGATATTCCGTTCCGTAAGTTGCCATTGAATCTCTACCCCTGTGGATACAGTATGTCACAGAATTCAATACCCTGCTCCTTATGGAGTATATTTTGTTGTGTTTTATGTGTTTGTGTGCTTGAAAAATAGAGAGTTGTTTCCTGTGTAGCATCTATTAACCTGATCCCCCTGCTCATGTTTATTGTGCTTGAGTTAACCTCCCAATCAGAGGCTTCTGGCCAACGGATGAAACACAGTCTTCTGTTATTTGTTAATCATTGTCCTTGCCACTTGCAATATTGTTTAACAATGAAGAATTTCTAACCAGTTTATTTAATATTCCTCCACTTGCTTTCTGCGGGCGCAACACAAAAGGGATCCGGGCACTCTTTCCTGGCCTTCAGAAAGGTACATGCTGAACTCAAGCAATAGCTGTTGTTGAAATTAGTGCTAGATTAGATTGTGGTTTTTAGTATTCAAAAGCAGTAGATTTGTTTGCATCACGGGACACTATTTCACCACTTAACTTTGCCACTTGTTAATTTGGTTTCCTGTACCTGAAGAAAATTTCCCCCCAGACTCCTTTTTTTTTGCCGTCAGATTCAAGTCTTATTTGCTTTGTCTTGAAGCATGGATTCATGGGTAATGCCTTCTTATTGAATTTTAAAGTTTTCATTTGTAGCCAATTACGCTGTGACAGCGGACCGCATTGTATTCGACTTCCTCTCTTTCTGAGATAGTCTCTGCAATCCCAGAACGGGCTGCTTAAATATATTAACATGACTAATCATCTCCCTGATCATCACAATACACTCACAGAACTGACATCCTCCCATGGAAAATGGACCAACCCCTTCCTTAGACTCGACATATAAATACGAATATAAAAATGCAGAGACTGTGTGATAGGGAATAGAAAGGAACCATCAGGCAGCGCTTTGCAGATTCTGATGAGGAAGAGGTGAGATTTTATCAGACACAAACAATCACTGTGCCTCCGAAATGAAAAGGAGCAGTTTAAATGTGACCTTGTGAATACAAAGCTCGCTTTCTTTGTGGGGTTGTGGGGTGTGTGTTGTGGTGGGGGTTGACATACCACACACATGGAGATCCACTCATAATGCCCCTAGAGTTCGATCGGGACTTAGAAGAACAGAAGACAAGACCCTGTGGTATCAGTGCTGCTCACTGGGTCTGATTGATTTGGCAGTGTCTGTGGTGTTGTCAGATTGTGTCTCCAGGAAAGTGTAGGACTTACCCCATCACAAGCCTACACATTATGAACTCCATTAATCATTATTCTTTAACAGACTCTGTAACCAATTAGTTGCAATGTTTGGCAAAAACACTGGATTTTTAGTTAATTTATCACGGGCATTGTGTAATTATTAGAACAATTACCTTCTCGGCAGAACATGTTGTTGCTGTTTTCCATCAGGGGACATGAAGGGTCCACGTCTCTTGGTCATCCGTTCTAAATGGTTTTGCAGTGACAGCTTAATTTGTGCATTTCATTTTGATTGCAAGGTGGCAAACGATAATAATGAGTACTCGTTTCGCTTTGGGCCCTTTAATGCATCTCAGTCGTTCTCTTCTGTTTGTTAAACAATATTGCTATTGGATAGGAGTGTAGGTGTTGATAGGATACTGGACTAGAAAAGTGTGGATAAAAGTAATCTTTCAAAGAGCCCCTATTTTGAATCCACTGTGTAATGTTTAGAATTAAATGTTTTTAGGTAATAGGATGCTTTCATGTGACAATGAATTTCTGGTTGTCTGTCTTTGTTATTTTTAGTTAGTTAACATAAGTCAGCCAATGTCAAGGTATTGACCAACCAAGTTATTGTGTGTGTTTAAATGTGACTCTTGTGAATGAAAAATATCTGTACATGACAGGTGGCAAAATACAGTAGCAAGTAAAGTCAATTCGAAATACTCACCCTCACCTTGCTGGTCTTACAAGTGGACATTCCACAGACATGGAAAAAGTAATTTAACAGTAATTTGATCAGTAATTTAAATGTAGTCTTTGTAAAAAATATCAATCAAAATATAAGTAAAATAAAAATGTGCACAACTAGTAATTCCAATGTGGACTAGCAGCAGCTGTATCGTTTTGTTGACTTGCCTCGTATAGCTCTTGCGTTTATTTATTTTTCTTACTGACGGCGAAGCAAGGCAAAGGACCAACTAGAGGCCACCTGACCAACATGTAATGCAACCAAACACAGTTCATTTTGTCCAGTGTTTGTCATATTTTGGGGCATACAAATGTAAAGTTGATGTCCCCACAATTGCAGACCAGCATGCAATTCATTCAAGAATGCAAGTTTACTGTAACAATGGCACAATAAATGCTCATTGTCCCACGGCAGCTTACTTGTTCCATAAGGGGTTTTGGCGTCACAATAGCTTTGTTTCCAGACAGACCGTTAAAGAAAGCAACACGCGTGTCCCGGAAGACATGGATGATCCAACCATTCAGATGACGACTTTGAAACTATCCAAGTGTATCTTATTTTGTGTGCCATATGCATCAGATATTCAGCCAACTGTCCTTGAGAGACTTCCCTAGTCATACCTTTGCGGACTTGTACAATTGTCAGCTGCCATATCACCCTGTAGCCCAAGACTGGTTGCCCACTGAAACTAAGCACGGCTGAGCCTGGTTAGTACCTGGATGGGAGACCTCCTGAGAAAACCAGGTTGCTGTTGGAAGAGGTGTTAGTGAGGCCAGTAGGTGGTGCTCACCCTGCGGTCTGTGTGTGTCCTAACACCCCAGTAAATTGACGGGGACACTATACTGTCAAAGAGCACCATCCTTCAGCTGATGCGTTAAAACTGAGGTCCTGACTCTCGGTGGTCAATAAAAATCCCACGATGTCTTTCGAAAAAGAGTAGGGGTGTAATCCCGGCATCCTGGCCAAATCATCCCCATATTACTGATTGGCTTCATCACTATGAAGCTACTGTATATACATGTAACAATTTATTATTACAATCTGCACACACCAACTCCCGGGAAGTTGTGTAGCAGCCAACCGATAGGTAATTTTAGTCAGCATTGTATATGCAATATGCATCAGGCGCTCCGTGAACGGTCTGTGGGTGGTGTCGTCTGAGACAAAATCTGGTTTCTGATGTCCTTCTAGACCCTGAAGGATTGCTCAGCAGTCACAGTGTTAATTAATTACAGCGGCAAAGCCATCTGGCTATCAGTAATCCCAGGTAACAGCTTCAGACAGCTTTCAGCTTTTATTACATCGTTACGGGTAATGCTGTATCATGGCTAACATACGCTTACTTTGTGACATAATGTTTTCACCATGAACCATATATATATATATATATATATATATATATATATATATGTAGCTGATTTGACTTGTGGTAGTAATGAGCATTTATTCTCGGCTATGGGATTTCAAGTTGGCATTTCTTTCACACCTTCTCTCAGTATTCCTCCTTCGCTTCAGTATTCCTCCATCACAAGCATTTCAGATTCTTGCAGTGAAGCCGACGGCCCTTTTCTGTTTGTTTTGCCAAAATCTTCAGGTTTGTTAATTAACGAGAGTATCAGGGTGTAATGGTCACGGTGCTGCGGTCTGGTCATTTTGACAACACTGCAGGAGATAAGAACAAGAGAAAGAAAAGGAAAAGTAAACTTGAAAAGAGCCAGGAAGAAAAAAAGGTTAGGGAAACAGACAAATTTCGATGGTGTATATTTCTAGTTGTGGTGATAGATGGTATAAATTAACATTTGCCTCCCCCACTGGCACATCATGCTTTGTTTCTCTCAAATCTTAGTTGTTAAGTCAGTAAGGCCTCTCCTCAAGGCCTCACAACACATCACATCATCTCAACCTCCCAGAAGGATCTGATTGGTTTGCCAGATCAGTTCTGGAGACTTTAGTTTTCAGACGCTCTCAAAAGTTACAGTGCTCAATTATTATTCAGTCCTCGTCTTCTAAAAGATCTTCCTCCCAACCCTGAGGCTTGATTGGACGCCCACCCCAGTGTGCTGCAGGCCAGCCTCCGTCGGCTCAGTGTGGCCCCCTGCAGGGCTTGGCAGGTGGGCATAGCTGCATCAGTGTGATGCTTAGACGTACTGGCAGGCTAGCAGATGTGCCTATTAGTAGGGTGAACAGGAGTCTCCATCCAGCAGAGCGTCTCTTAACACTCATCATCTTTACTGGTTTATCAGAGCCCCAGCGTGAGTCTGAAATCTCCTAGATAGCCACCATCCTCCTCCTCCTCCCACTCAAGGTGACCAAACTAGTGTACACCTCCTGCTGCTTTTCAGGAAAGTGTTGGGGTTGGACGTCTACAATCTTTAGCTTCTTTAAGTCCCACTTAAACCTCTCTCCTGCCATTCATATCTCTCCACACAATCGCAGCCTCGTTTCCCCACTCAGTCTGAAAAGTACAAAGTACGCTTAAGCTGTATGACTGTGTTTCTTTTTGGCCCCGTGGATCTTTAGTCGTACTTCACAATCTCACTAGTTTATTTGAATTGATGATCAAATTGGGAGGGCATATGCATACAAAATGTAAGAAGTTCGGTAATTTTTGAAAAAAAAAAATGTAAATTTGTTTTTTCTTGGGGCATCATACAAATTTATTTTAACACTATAAATATTGAAAGTATTTGTTTAACTTTTTAGATTTGATTTAAAAACATTCATTCAGATTTTTCAAAGAAACATACAACTTCATATTTTTGTTGGATTTTCAGTTTGATTTGCAACAAAAGTAGTAATAAAATAAAGGTTTGATAAAAGTGTTTGTTTTAATCAATGTGACATTCATTTAACAAAAAATAAATAAAACCTTAAAAAAGGTCAACCCCTGAGATTTAAAAGTGATCAAAGTTGAAGAAATCTATATACTGTGTGGCGGTAGAAATGTGTGAACCATATTCTGCTGTTTACCGTGGCATATATCCAATTTTAAAAATCTGGAACCAAGCTATTCTATTATGTTTAAGCCAGTATATAATTTATACATACAGTAGCCATGTATGATTATGATTATGACCATTTTGATTTTTGAATAGTCCAGCTAAAATAGCTACCTATTGTGACTAACCATTACTAAACAATTACTATGATTTTGGACATGCCACCCACACATTTTTCCTACGGATGGATTTGTTTGTTGCAAAGGGTGGCTAAAGCTCAATATTTTATCCTTTTTAAAACCTAAAACTCTTTCTGATTTGCTTTCAAATCCTATCAATATTCATCCAAGACCCATGGTTCAATCTCACACCCATAATTCTTCCTGATGGCTCCTCTATGAG